GCAGGCATGTAATATGTGGGCACAACGTGTCCCACAGTTCATTAGCATGTCAACCAGTAATTGGCATAAAAATCACCGGTGACCTTGTTGCATTCTGTTGCTCACCCTAAAAACTTTGAAGTCTGCAGTGTATTTTAGACCCACAGCAGACCTCACTTTGGACTAGTCATGTTGCAAGTTCCTAGTGACCACATGCGGCCGAGGCTGCTGCCCTGGACAGAGCAGGCACAGAGGCCCTGAGGGCCTGGGAAGGAGGGCAGGAGGGCGTCTCCGTGAGGACTCAGACTCCTGAGTGGTCAGGCCACAGGGTGCGCTGGCCTGGGACGGCCGCTCAGAGCTCGGTCCTCTGACCGCCCCAGTGAGTTCACCCTCCAGTGAGTTCTTCTGGCCTCCCGACCCCTGTTTTATACTACTCAGGATTTGAAAATGTGTGTTGGTTTCTGTGGTGACTGGCCAGGGGCCGTTTCCCCTGGTACATCTGAAGCGCCCTGAAGGTGGGGGCCGGGGTGGCCGTGCTGCGTCCTTGGCGCCTGGAATGGCAGCAGGCACAGTGGATGCTGGCTGTGGGGGGCCCGTGGCCCAGATGGGGCACAGGCGAGGCTGTCGCGCCCAGCCTCCAGTGGGCTTACGTGATGCGGCGAATCTGCTTAGAGAATGGGGACAGAGTGCGGAGACCCAGGAGAAGGGGCTTCGGAGGAGTAGGTGGTGCTGTGTGGGAGAGGGTGTTGGAACTGGACTTGCAGATGCACAAGCGTTTTCCCTGTGATGTGCGCTGATGTAAAATGAAGTGAGGTGGGCATGCTGGGAGCAAGAGAACGAGGAGCCGATGTGCAGGGCGGAGGCAGTCTTCCTCCCGGGGTCCCGAGCATAGCTTTCCTTTGGCCCTGTGACCTCCAGTACCTGCCACATGCACTTAGAGATCCCCAGATGGCCACGGCTTGCCTCAAAAGCTTGAGCCCAAGAGCACCATTTATATCTTTTCTAGTATACACTTACACATGCAGAAGATTCTCTCAGAGTCTGGGGTTGTCCCAGGTCTGCGTGTCTGTACCACACATGTAGAGTCTAGAACTATCTGTGTCTCAGGATGTGCAGAGTGTCAGAGTCTAGAACAATCTGTGTCTCAGGACGTGCAGAGTATCAGAGAGTCTAGAACGACCTGCGTCTCGGGACGTGCAGAGTGTCAGAGAGTCTAGAACGACCTGCGTCTCGGGACGTGCAGAGTGTCAGAGAGT